TACTGACGTGCTGGTTAAATTTCACTCGCGGGGAGCTCGCCACTGCTTTTGAGGAAGGGTAAAATCATTTTGTCTCCCGCTAAATTAACTTATTTTTCTGTAACATTTTTTTGTTCCTTTTGTCTGTTGAAACTCTGGCTTTATTTCTCTCTTTTCCTCTTTTGTTAGAATTTCCAAGTTAGTTTCTCTTTTTCTTTTTCCTTTTGCTTCATACCGACATGGTGTTACTGATGGTTTCAAGTTGTTGTGGAAATGGTGCTGTGAATTTATATCTAGTTTGTTTTACGTTTCTTTGGGGGATAGTTTGTTTTATGTTGCTGGTGATAACTCTGAGCTTTTTGTGGTGTGCTCATTTGAGATAGTTCCTGATATTTATAGGTGAGATTTAGGGTTAGATGCACCAAATTCACTTTGATCAAGTACATAGCACAGAGGCATAAGAAATGTTTAAGTTCTGTTACAACAAGCTAAGGCCATTTGTTTTTACTATATTTGGAAGAAATGAATTATTTTCGTAGAATCTGATTGAAAGGATATATTTTAAATTCTATAATATTCTTTACAGTTTTAATTTAAAGAAAAAGAAATTCTATGAAAATTTAGTAATAGATTTTCAAATTGATTCTGCCAAAGTAGTTACTTCAGAATCATCATCCTTCATAATGCAATCCTAGTGTTAAAATGAGCCCACTTTGCCAAAGTTACATTTTATCTTTCCAAAGGTATTAATGATTCCTCTTGATCCACTTTGTTGATTAAATCTAGTTGTAACTGGTGCCACAATGAATGCTTGAGAAGACCTATAATACTTTAGTGGAATAAGAAAGGGAAGTTGAAGATGTAAGTCATATGTGAAAACCACTCTCCTTCGACCAACTGTCAAGGACATGGTGTCCAGTGAAGTACATCCTTAATGTAGGTTTATCTCATTTAATAAGAGTGATGTGAATGTTTTTATCTCCTCATAGATACATGGTGTATACTATTTCGAAAAAAAGATACATGGTGTACAGTAGGACTTTCTAGGTAGGAAGATTGGATTAGAGTTTAACTTCAACTTTTCATAATACTTATTGACGTCAAGTTGAGAGGTTATGAGTTTCCTTTTGAGATAAAGCGAAGTTGGCGAACAACATTGTTTTGTAATAAAGTTTTGGACCTCAATTTTTCTGAGGAAAGAAAAGTTTTAGATTGCTAGTGCTAAGACCTCCTTAACTTTATTATAGAACAATGTTCTTAGCACTTGGTTCCTATGTAAAAAAGTGCTTTTTGGCATTCTCAGAGAGAGAGAGAGAGAGAGGGGTTGTGAATTCCCTCCCTTTCATGGTAGTTTCTCCACCGAGGAAATTCTTAGTTATCAAAGGGAAATCGCTTGACCTCTTTTAAGTGAGAGTCAGAGTTGTCATGGATTGTGTTAAGATTCATAGAGCAAAAGAGGATCTATGCAGTCTATCATCCTTGTTGGAATTGAAGACCGGCTCATTAGATTTATGTTCTTTCTTCTAGGAAAAATGTTTCAAGTTCATTGGTTGCGAGCTTGGCAGGGGCAAAGAAGACCTTGCAGGCCGCAATGGGTAAGAACAAAGGGGAGAAATTTTTTGTTCTAATAGAAAGTAAACGGGAGATGAAGGGAAAG